TTCAAGATACATATACAATTTCAAACATCCACAACAAAGACATTCAAAATACATATACAATTTAGAGAACATCCACAACAAAGACATTCAAGATACATATACAATTTGCAGAACATCCACAACAAAGACATTCAAGATACATATACAATTTGCAGAACATTCACAACAAAGACATTCAAGATACATATACAATTTGCAGAACATCCATAATAAAAGACATTCAAGATACATATACAATTTGCTGAAAATCCATAAGAAAGATGTTCATAATACACAGATAATTTACGGAACATCCATAAGAAAGATATGGAAGACAGAAATACAATTTACAAAATAACCATAATGAAGATGTTCAAGATGCATACAGGACTTGTAGAATATTCACAGTAAAACACATATATCTTTATACTGGGAGCACAAACCTCGTTTTTTTTGTCTACGAAATCTGTGCAAAGCATGTAGTCGTTGATTATGTTGATATTCCTGAACTTCATTGCCATCTTCTTCATCACTGCTGTTGCTCGTGGTTGCCATCATTGAATCCAACAGATTTGCTCTTTCCTAGTGTTAAAGAATCTGCTGTGAAAATGGTTTTATCTTACACAGCCAGATCTGCATTAACATAAACAGTGGATCAGAATGTTATACTAGCATTGAATTTTAAACGTATTGAGTACTGCCAGTGAGCTGACTGCAAGAAAACAGCATAATTTGAATGAGTAAATTGCATTTAAATTTGCTGTCTACGTCATTGAACTTTGTGCATTAAAATTTACTCCTCTTTCTTTCATCGATCTGCATGTTTAGATAAACCGTCCAGTGCATGATTCTTATCTAGGAAGTTAATAACTTTAAAACATAAAATGTATACAGCACTTATTGTATTACACAACAGGGCTCTGATTCAGGCATTAAAGCTTGATTGTAGTTAACCACAAAGCTACACAATAGGCCATCTGTGTTGTGCCCACCACAGGTATCCAAATCTGGTTTTAGCATACAGAGTCTGCAGAGTTATCGGTAAGGGTAAGGTCTATTCTTGTCACCAGTAAGTGCTGATGGCAGCATGTCTTCAGTACTGAGTAACTCAATGTGCTGCCCTCTAGGTGCAAACCTTTCATACTTCTATATATTTTTTAGGGACTTATTGTACCATTGAAACATATTCAGTTGTTTATAGTAAGTTTATGTGCACTTATAGCTAAAATTCAGCCTGGCTATCAGTATAGCTAACCATAATGTGTCTGGAGATGTTCCCACAGAAGCCAAAAATCTTCTATTACCACACTGCCCTAGGTCATCATCTGTGTACTTTCACTACTAGTAATGTTTTTAGCCCTTAAGCTAAGAACACATGACAAGGTTATTCGTCAACAACATAAGCTTTACTGTATTTATGGTACATTCTCAGGGCCTGCAATAGCTTAACGGGTGTCTCAGGCAGAAATTAATGCTGTACGCCACTACTCACAGTGGAGCCCCTGAGGAGTTAAGTATAGAAAAA